CACTACAAAGATCGAATTGTATTCGGGAAAAGCCAAGCAAGAGATGGTGATCCTTCGCCACTGGTCACCGCATCACTGTGTCGTGATTCATAAGAAAAAGAGAATTGAGTGTTGAAGACTCAGCGTAAAGAGTCCTGTCGACAACCATGACCTTGGGCTTACTCCATTTTTTCGTCTTTCTCAAGCTCAGCTAAAGAGTGAACAAGCATTGTCTACATTACCAAAAAATGGCTAAATAATCACAAACTTATGGCTGTATTTGTAGAAGGAAATGCAGAAGCATTGTTGCACAGTGATACAGGGAATAATGGGTTCGCTATACATTTAATTCGTCTCGTGATTCGTCGGCGGAACTAATCTGTCCTATGCGATCCATTATTCCCAGAGGCCGGAACCAATCCTCATACTGATAGTTCCCTAAAATTTGATTGAATCGACTTGTGAATTGGCTAGAGTGAGCTCGCCATACACACTGCAACATGTGATTGGATCTGCACCAAGTAAATGTTTCATTTTACATGTTTTTAAGAGCCTATCCAAAACGATCTTCCTTATCTGTATACAAAATTCCGTTTCTTCTGTCAGCACACCATAAAATCATACCGTACACCAGAAACAGTTCCGACGTCTTCAAAATAGCCAGACCAACTTGATTGCTCTACAAATTGATATTGCTCGTACCTAGCTCTACAATCTTGGAGTTGGACTTGGCCTTCAACTCTCAAGGGACAGCCTTAATATACTTGTGACGTGGCGGCAATCCCGCACTGAGCGCATTCCGTCATATTGATGGCTTCATCGCAAGCCCCTGTGACCATAGTAAACTGGATTCTGGACTCCAAGTGATAATCGTAACCCCCGTGTGCTGTCCCTTGCCATAAGTTGTTGAGGATGTATTTCAAATTCGTGTCAAACGGATCTGGACTTCAGTAGGTGCCATCACTGCAGATTTTGCACACCAACTTCATATTTGAATCACCTCTTGCTAGATTGAGAATGCAAAAGTTTCCAACTAGGATGATTGCAAATCCAGGAAAAGCATCCATACTATCCTCTTTATACTCACCAGAATTCTTCCATTTGTTGTTTAGAAACTTTCTTTGAGTTCAGGTTGATGTATAGAGATTAGAGAGTGAGATGTTGTTCTTGTAGATGTCTCTTCAACTTTCACAGCCGGATTAAACTATTCTTTTATGTGGAATAATTTCTCTAGCGAAGTCGAAGTTATTTGCTATTTGTTTGTGTTCTTTTCTACTGATTATCACAAGTTATGTAGTGGATGACGCAAGCACTCTCCAATCAATTGTCCACATCCTATATCTTGAGCTCATTCTTGTGTCCTATTAAGGGAAAAGCACAAAAAAAAGTCATAAACCTATTATATTTATGCTAATTCAGTCCTAAACTTTTCAATTGTACAAATTTAGTCCTACATTTTTTGACAATTTGCCAATATGGTTCATCTGACAAATTTTGGTCAGAAATTACTAACATGGTCACTAGTCGTCCTATGTGGCACTGCTGACGCTAACATTAACAATTTTTGCAATTTTAATATTTTTTTTCTTTGTTGCGGCCGAGCACCCTCGCCAGATCTGGATGAGGCCGACCTCTCCTGTGGCCCGCGAGAGTGGCCCTTGCCCAAGCAAGGCCGTCCCTCGCCTTTGGCTGGTGAGGGCAGCCCTCGCCAGATCAAGCAAGGGCGACCCTCTCCCGGCCCTTGCTGGCCATCGCCCGTGGTCGGTTTCTGGCCATTGCTTGAGACTGACCACTGGCATAAAGGAAAGCAAAAAACAAAAAAGGAAAAAATTCAGAAAAATTTTAAAAAATTGTCTACGTCAACTTCGGCCATGCCATAGAGGGCAGTCGGCACTGATTGGATCGCTATATCAGTGATTTTCAGTCAAAATTGACTGGATGGACTACATTGGTAAATCATCAAAATGTTTACGACTCAATTGGTATAATTGAAAATTTTAAGACTGTATTGACATAAGTGCAATAAGTTTAAAACTTTTTTGGTGCTTTCTTGTCCTTATCAATCTCTTGCCGTTTTAGTAAATTTGTCTATCTGCCGTCTCTCCAAAGTGTATCGATCTTCATGCTTACAAAAATGTAAAGGAGAGTGTCCTCTTGCTTATTTATAAAACTTTGGAAGATTAAGCAAACAATTTTATTTGTCCATGATACGACACTCATGAGATATGTAATTAAAAATAAACATGAAAATCGAGATGTATAAAACTATTTATGATTTTCTCTTTCATTACAAGACACCCTATATAAGGTCTGGGGCATACCATACTATGAATGCACTTGCGATTTAATGTTTGATGTTGGATGTGTTAGTAATTGTGTTATTGTTTGTTTGCTAAAAAATTATGGAAAAAAATGCATGGGATAGTTAAAGGGCACCCTCAAACCTGCGTAACTCAAATTTTAGAATTTGATTACACTTTTAAATGGATAGGTTTAACGATGCCACGTAAGCAAAAGTGACACATCGACAATTTTTTGAAACTATTATTAAAATGGCTAAATTTTACTTTTTAAAAAAAGGGTTACAAAGGTTTAGAACTTAAATGTATTTTTCCCCGTACGTACGTGCATGCACGATTTGTCGCGAATCTAAAAAACAACATTTGAAAGTAATGAGTACGTACCAAAATTACTTCATTTAAAATTTTGGAAGAAGAAACCAATATTATAGGATTGCATATGAATAAAAAAATTGTAAAGGATGAGAACTAGCTAAGAGAAGTGCATTCCAACATTTGCAATTGCAACAAAAGCATAAGCAATTAATCAATTCAAATTGTATAAGTTGGAAGGACGATATGTATATTAGGTTTCGTTTGTTTCACAGAAAATGAATGATTTAGAAAATATTTTCCTAAAAATGATCCTTTATATCGCAAATCAAAATGAATGAACGAAAAATATTTTCATCTTCCGCGAAAATGTTTAGATTTAAAATTGTCGTCGATAATGAAAATATTTTTCATTGACTTACTTAATTCAAACGATTATTTTAATTTTTTTTTAAATTATACATCTTCCGTCAAATAAACGGAGCTCTAATATTAGATACTTTGTTTGAATTTTAAATTATTGTTACTTCCTGTTTGTGCTCATTTATACTTATGTCATTGATATTGTGCAGTTTGTTAGTAGAACATTACAATCATCAACTATGGTCAAGAGTGGAATAAAGACAGATACTAGTGCTCTTGCCAATAAAGCCCCAAAAATAAAAAAAATAAAAAAAAAAGTGCTCTTGCCTGTACTTCCCAATGTTCGCATGGTCGGCTTTTATGTGAGTCGATTGCTTTGTAGACGTTGGGATATTACGCACTAGAAATCTCAAAACTTTTCGAGTGAGTGTAATTGAGTCTTAAAATTTATAAAAAATATAATTAAATTCTAAAATTTGTCAAATTTATGCAATCGAGTCCTTCTGTCAGCTTCGTCCAACTTGGCTAACCAAAAATGCTGATGTGTTTTTTTTTAAATATTTTTTTTCTTTTTTATGTGGCGATAACGTGGATAAAATACGAAACATAAGACTAAAACAATATCGTTTTGGTCCAAATATGATTTCAATACAATTTTTATTTAAATTAAATAAAAAATAAGCTATTTTTTTTTAAAAGGAAGAACCAAAGCCCTTGTCGCTTGCCCCACCATCGCTGGTGGCGGCGGCGGCAAGGGTGATTCTTCCTTTTTCTTAGTTTATTTTTTTAAATTTAATTTAAATAAAATTTATATTAAAAATCATATTTGGGCCAAAACGACGTTATTTTAGCTATGTCAACGTCACATAGAAGAGATAATATATTAAAAAGAAACACGTCAGCATTTTCCATTAGCCAAGTTGGACGGAGTTAACACAAGGACTCGTTGCACAAATTTGATAAATTTTAAGACTTGACTGTACTTTTTCCAAGTTTGAGTACTCAATTGCACTTTCGTGATAAGTTTTAGGACTTTTAGTGAACATATCCCTAGTTATTATATCACAATAGCAACTTTGGACACTTCACAAAAAAAGGACTAAGCCATATAATTAAGCACTTTAATATGTGAACCCAAATTGGTGGTGTGGGGATGATTTATTCAGCGGACACTAACGAAACTGAGTTAATGTTCAAAAGTTTTTCTTTTGAATAGTATGGACTTGCGAGATGATTTTTGGGCTGATACATCGCGGACATCATGGAAATTTTACCGAGTATTTAAAAGTCTTGATATAATATATTATAGATTTATCTTCGTGTTTTTTATTTGTTCAAAGGGCGAGGCTATTTCCACCTTCAATATGATGGTAAGCACGCCGATTATATTGTATCGATCAAATTATCCTAAGTCATGCTTTTAAATCGGTGTGCGTGACCATCAATATCATATAGAAAAATACATAGTGGGCCTCATCTTTCTTTAAAGTGCCAACACCTCGTTGGTTAATCAAAAGTTAGTTGATTCTTAATCAATAAGGATCCCAAATAAATAATTGCACTGACTTTATAATGACATGGAATTGACTTTACCTTTTTGATTGAGAACTTACACTGAATTGGCCTCACACCAAATAGAAAGCGGAAATTTATTGTAAACCTTGCATATTAGAAACGTTTTTGTAAAGTATTTTTTTTTGGGTGACATTTTTCGAAAGTATTTTTCTTCTCTAACTTAATTGCAAAATCATATTTCCCTAAAATATCCACGAATAAAGAAAAATGATGTAGACCGACTTTCGAGATTCTCAGCGCGATGGCTATCGACATTCAAACACAATAATTAGCCAAAAAAAATTACAAATTCCGATTTATTATGGCAAACCTCATCTTCTAAATTTTATTTTTAACTGGATTCAAAATCTATTTTTGTGGATGAGCTTTCAAAAAGAAAAAAAAAATTCCCTTTTTTTTTATTTTTTACCTTTTCCTTTTTGGACTTCATATAAAACGGAGAGCTACGGCGGTCTTTTTCCTCACGGGGGGGTGGGGAGGAAGAGGACCTGGTTTCCGTTGCGTGACAACCATGGAAACACCCCACGACAAAGCTATAAAGTCACGCCAGCTCTCCGCCCTGATGGCCGAATCCCCCGACCCGCCGCCGCCGCGATCCCGACGGCCGCAGTCGCCGGAGCTTACGGGGCAGCCGCGGAAGCCGGCCGACGACGCTGAGGAGATGGTGTTGGCGAGGCGGCCCCTCAGAGATTCGCCCCCCGCTCCGTCTTGGTTCACGCCGAAACGGTACGCGATTCGGCTCCCTTTTCTCTCGTGGTCGGATTGTGGGTCGCGTGCTCTTCGCGACACGGATTGATGCGTGAGGAGCAGAGTTGTTCTGCTGTAGATGTAGTCTTGCCTCTCGGGACATTGAAGCTCTGTTCGCGTCGTGTTTCTCTCGCTATTTTTTTGTGAATTGTGGTGTGGCGCTGTGCGCGATGCAGTGATGAGGGATGTTATGTGCTGGCTAATAGCTGCTAGGCAATTGCAGCATTGTGGACTGTGGAGTTCAGTTGGTTTTGAGTGGTAAATTTGATGATTGGGAATTTAACTGTTTATGATCGTCTATCCCCAAATAACATGTTGGGGTTTCGGCCAATTGACTAGTGATTACTCATGTATGAGATGCCCGTTTGTTTGTAGTTTCTGTGAGGTTTCGTCCATTGGGATTAGCTTTGTTAGTTATTGTTTTGGCCGCTGAAGTTCTTCTCTGGCTTTGGCATTAAGTGCGAGTTAGAGTTAGACTCACTCTGACTATGGCAATTCAATGACTTGTCATGTATTCTTTTGTCATTGGAGAGTGATCTTGTTACGTGCACCTGCGACTGACGGCGCCCTGTCGTACAATGTATTTTGTATGAAGGAGATTACGTCCAAAGTAGAATGTGGGTCGGGTGACTGTTTGTTCAAATTTACCGGGAAGTCAATGAAGTCATAAGTGTTTCCTCATGAGTATGAATGAGGCTGGGCATGACCTTCAAGCATGTTATCTGAAATTTTCAGAATGTGTCGTCTAATCTTAAGCAGAGATGACTTGTGCTATATAGTCGTGTAATTGTAGTTACTCTCACACGATGCTTATCTAGATAATAGAAGTTACTGGATTGTATAGGAATTGAAGAGAATATATTTGAAGAAAGGGGTAGACTAAATATTGGAGTTGTTTAGGGCAATAACCAGAAGGTTTACTTTTCTGTATGCAGGTTGCTTATCATCTTTTGTGTGATTAACATGTTAAATTACGTGGATCGAGGAGTGATAGCCAGTAATGGTGTGAATGGTAGTCGGAGGACTTGCACAAAGGATGGAAAATGCACTTCAGGCAGAGGAATCCAGTAAGTTAAAGAATCTTGTTTTGTCTTATCATGCAGTCAAGTCTATTGTTTCAGTATCATGGGACCTTTATATTGGACATTTTAAAACATGGTTCTGGTTGTTGTCGCCGATCTAAAGCAGATTGAATGTGAAATTGAAGTTAATCTTTTTTCTGAACAAGAACCAGAATTTGTATTCCTGTACTGCCATTCTCATCTTTTTCCCTTTTTGCTGAAAATATCATGATGATTGACATGTCTAGTGTTATATTGGAGGCTTATGATTTTCTTCTTATTGGGGTTCCTTTTTATGTTTTCAGACTATACAGTTTTGAAGGTCCAACAAAATTCTATTAATACAAGTTTGTTGTTTAATGTTAACGAAATGAAAATCTCCGTTGCATTGCACCGGTCTCGGTTTCTGCCAACTTCCTAAGTTGAAGCCGAAATTCCATCCTATTCTTCTTTAATATTTTCTGGGCTTCTTTTGCCATCATTATTGTAATCATAGCTAGTTTTTCAAGCATGCAGGAATTTATAGTATAGTGTTAATGTCTTATGACCTTATCATAGCACTTTGGTTGCAGGGGGGACTTTGACTTGAATAATTTTCAGGATGGTATCTTGTCATCTGCATTTATGGTTGGACTTCTCGTTGCTTCCCCTATATTTGCTTCATTAGCAAAGAGGTAAAGCCTACCTCCTGTACAGTTTGTATACCCTATGGGCTTTTTCCAATGTTAATAATTCTGTATGAAGGACTTGTGATTCATGCAATGGGGAGAGAAAGGGTTGTGGGATTTCAGGGTTTTAGTCACTTCTAGTTTGAACAGAGCAAGGTTATTAGTCCTGAACATTTTTAGTTCAGGTCATGATGGAAACCTTAGTCTTTTGATTGGTGTCATTCTTTGTTGTGTGGGCTTGGAAGATAACGTTAGTTACAGATCTCATGCTGTTACAAGATAATCTTGAATATTTTTCCACATTAAGTACTTAAGGTGGCTTGGCTTAGATTGTCATAATATCCTGAAGAGGTTTCAAATCAATGTAGCTGCTGTGAATTTAACATTGACATAACCATTGTGAGTATATGATATAGCTTATCGCTTTCATTCTGAGTGAATTGTATCTGCTTCTCGTCAGCATGATATGTTTTACAACCTTAGTTGGTGTTAATTATTTAGTATGATAGCTATATACTCTTGCATTTAAGCAATTTTATCATATGTTTTGGTTAATTTCTCCTACTCTACACTAAAATATGTTCTGGCTTCTTTTTTCTAGTTCTAAGTAGGTACTGATGTACATTACTTTAAAAATTTGCTCATAATTTCATTGTCACATACTTAGACAGCAGGTATACAATGAACAATTTGGAGGGGCCAAGTGTAAGATTTAGCTAATAGAGGATGACTCTATTCTACATTTACATTTATCAAGTTTTTCAAATATTAGGAACCTGTAAAATAAGATATGTTAAATGTAAATGAATATGGAGTTTATATGCTCAATATACTCACTTGTGTCATATATTACCAACAAATATTAAATGATAATCAGCCCGATGCTATCTTATGACCCCAAAGAAAGCCCAGAACGATAAGGCTAGTAGTCCATAATTTCATTATTTTTGGTAAGATACAACCACAAATGAAAAACTAAAATAGCATTTGAGAGTTGAGAAACCAATTTGACTTGTAAAAATGCTGTAGTATGCCTTCGCTGAGCTCACTCGCTCACTCTTAGTGGCTCATTTTTAGCCTTTATGAATCTTCCAATCTTTGACTTAAACAAGAGGGATTCACCTCCAATTTCTCTAATTGCCCTCCTTGTTTCTATTGTTGATGTGTTTATCTGTTGTAATTTAAGCTAATGTGCAATTTGGTTGTTGACTATGTTGATATGAAAGTTTTGTCGGTGAAACAAAGATGATTAAAAAAACAGTAGAAACTTTGTGACAATGAATCTGTTGAAATTTGGAATTTTGTGTTCAGAAGATTGGTTCTAGCGTAAGTATCCCGTGACTATGTTCCTATGCACCTCTGATACTCAGTGCATAATTGTTCTCTTTCAGTTCTCACAATCTCCGATCACTTTTTACATGGTAACCTTCAGTATTCGCTCTTGTAGGAATTGTTTAAAATCTCACTTTCTCTCTTATTGATGGAAAATATACAGTCATCATCATTAGAAGTTATCTGTTGTCTGTATATGCCTGTTGTTAATTGCTTCAGTGTCAAACATTCTCCATTTATAATAAAAAAGAATTGGCTGCATCGTTCTTGATTGCTGCAGTTACAGGTTAAAATGTGCACAGCTTATCTTTCTCTTCATTTTGTTATATAGATTCTTACATAATTTTTTTGCTTTGCAGTATCAATCCGTTTAGGCTCATCGGGGTTGGACTATCTGTTTGGACACTGGCTGCAGCTGGGTGTGCTAGTTCATTTAGCTTCTGGTTTATTGCGATATGCCGGATGTGAGTATGGCAACTTTGTGGCTATTACGTACTAAATTGTAATTTTTGGTACCTTTAACTTTTAAATTGTGATAAGGGCTTACAATTTCGGGTATACTTCTTAAAGGCTGGTTGGAGTTGGGGAGGCTTCTTTCATAAGTCTTGCAGCGCCTTTTATAGATGACAATGCTCCCGTTGCTCAGGTGTGCGACACCTATTGCTGTTAGAATAAGCACAATTCTCGTGGATAAGTAATTGTTAGATTAGCTGTAAATTATTTTCTTATTCCTGGGAACAATATTAGCTAAGATTTTGTTATTTCTGGCAGAAAACAGCATGGCTTGCAATGTTTTACATGTGTATACCGACTGGAGTAGCTTTGGGCTACGTCTACGGAGGATTCGTAAGTTGTTTCTTCCCTCACATTCCCTCATTTTTTTTGCTGATTATGTCTGGGCTACGAGTACAACTAGCTTTCAATCTGCACTCTTTGAACATGCCAAGTCTAAGAAGATCAATATAGAGGCAGTAGTATCATTGTCAACTGCCTCATGGAAATTTGTTCTCTTTGGTCATGACTGCCTGTGGAATTTGCTAGCTATATTCATTTGCTGTTTGCTGAAGTTGTTTGATAAATTGACCTCTTCTTTCCCTTTTGTTTAGGTCGGAGATCATTTCAATTGGCGGTATGCATTTTGGGGCGAGGCTGTGTTGATGTTTCCATTTGCTGTTTTGGGATTTGTAATGAAGCCTCTGCAGCTAAGAGGTGCATTTCCATTTACAGTGCGGCAAGATTCTATCTGGTTTTTGCCTATAAAGAAGAAGAAGCTATCTGTTTTCTAGACCTACAAATTAGCTTGTCACCGCAGGTTTTGCTCCTGTTGAGTCAAAAAAGTCAATGGCATCCATTGAAACAGTTGCGATTGCGAGTGAAGGTAATTATTCTTCTAATATTGTATGCTAGAATTTCTGGATAACTTTCCACTTTCTTTTGTCTCATCTTGAAAAAATTATTTATTTGTATTTTCGTGTGCACTCTGGCAAAACCTTTCTGTAAGACCTTTTTCTTATCATAGTCCATAAGAAGCAACCAAAGCCATTGATGCAACGGTACAATCCTTGCTCACAAGCTTCCTAGGAATGGAAGAGAAAAAGGGTGTTCAATTCGCATTTTATTAGGGTCACCAAAATGTTGCAGTTGAACTTTTCGTACTACTTACAAAACTGCACATTTTTTTTTTGGCTTTTGCTTGGATTGGAGTTCTTTTGGCAAGTGGATGTAAAAGAGCACAAAAAACCCTTTACCAAAAAAAAAAAAAGAGCACAAAAAAGAAAGTAGGCCAACTCAGTGACCCCATCCATTGAATCTTTGTGATTGGTTAACAATACTTGAATAGTCTGGAAGCTTTTCTGGTAGGATATGCAAACAAAGGATAAATTCATCATTCTGGTGGATTGATGTCTTATTGTGATCACCTTGCTCTATTTCATGATGCAACTATTGTTCCTAGAGTTTACTTGACCTGTCTAACCATCAATATTAGCATGGTTGACATTTTTAAATCTGCAATTGACGACTGGATAATCTTTGATTTTTCTCCTTTTTCGGAGGGCTATAATTGGAAAAATTCATTGGTTTAGTTAATAAATATAAGGGTGTCATAACCTCTCATCTCATCCGAGTCTGCAGCATGATTTGTTGGAATCTGCTGAAAGAAAGGAATCCTAATTACTACTTCTAACGTAGGGAACCACTTCCTTGGCAGGAGTTTGTGTAATATCTACTTCTTTTAGTTTTTAAATGTTTCCTATTTTCTCAAGCAGATGCATCAAGTATTATTAATCCCTCTAAACTGGTTGGAGATGAAGATACTGGCAGTGAACCTTATCCTGAGCCAGCCAAGTAAGTGGTTCTCAGATGGAGAGATAAAGTATTAAATTAGCTACATACTTGTGAATGTATGTGTATAAAATATGTTAATCATCAATGAAATGGCATCTCTAGCAGCAAATATTTTGAAGCATAAGGCCGGAAAACTGAAAGCATTTCGTATAAGCTGATCAGTTGGGTATATAATATGCTCAAGAAAAAGGAGTTAACAGTGGATAGGGCAGACCATTATGAACTCATGTTTACTTCATGAACTGGAAAAGTTGTGAATTGAGAAAGGAACCAGGATAAATATAATTGAAGCTTTGACTATAGAATTATAGCAATTCAGGGTTCTCAATAATCAAAGATGGAAATTGTAAATAAGTAGATGTACGATAAGTTGGGACTCTCGAGCTAGGATCATTGATGGTGTCAATAATGTTATGCTTTTACAGTAACTTGATTGAGGAGACGGATAGAAAGCCTCTATTATATGTGATGGTAAATATGATTGTACCGTTGTTAGAAAAATGCATTCAGCTGATAGTCTAGAGGTTAGCACCTGAAAGAGCCAGTGTTATAAAACGTCTTTGCCATTATTAATTAGTAAAAAAGCTGGGCAGCTGTAACGATGTTCCTTTTTCTTTGAGGCTTGCTACAATTATTTACACAAGACAATGCCTGGCAGAAAAAGTGAATCCAAAGTCCAAAATGTACTTAGATAAATTATTCTTCCAGAAGGACAAAAGTTTTAACAGAATGGAACCTTTGAATTGCACCTAATGCAGTCTCCTCTTACTGTTTTGGGTAAAATCTTTGCTTTCTAAGACATGCAAAAACTGGATCCAAATGGAGCATAATTGGCCATGCTATTAGCGGAGGCATTGAAATGACAAGGGCCCATGAGAGAACTGTTACTGAAATATTTTTAGAACGGTGACCAAGGTTGAAACAGCAAAAGTGTCTAATCTTGGGCAATTCCAGTACTTAAAATTCAAAAGCCTGTGACTTGATTCACTTATTCAAGTTTTTGCGACTAGAGCCTCATATCTTTTGGTATGTTCTATTCACTGGCAGAAGATTGATGCATATGTGCATGAATGTGTGGAGACAAATAGAAAGAGAGAGAAGGGAAGAGGGTGGAGGAGGGGAAGGAATTATATTTATATCTCACTGCCTTCTTTTTATTGGCTGATTTATTTCTTTGCAGGGGCTGTTTGTCCACAGTCTGGAATGAAGTAGCAAGATTTTCAAAAGATATGAAAGCACTTCTGGTTGATCAAGTTTTTGTTGTGAATGTTTTGGGTAATTAATTTTTCCTAGTTTTCTTTGCTCATAGGCTGCTAGGTGTGAAGTTGTAACAATTATGAATCTGATATCACAGATTTTACCAACATTTTATCTGTTTATTCATTTCTGACATTAGTAGAATCAGATATTACTGTGCTAGTTTTGTGTTTACAATTTGCTACTGTTCTTACACAGCAAATCTTTTAACATCTATAACTTGTTAATTGATAGGTTATATTGCCTACAACTTCGTCATTGGAGCATACTCATATTGGGGACCGAAGGCTGGTTATAACATCTATCATATGGTATCACTATTTGCTGAATTTAGCTTATCATGGCTACTTTCATTTAGCGTCATTGTAGTGTTTTCTTTAATTTAGTGCAAGTTCTCTTAAAAAGGTATAAGGAGTTTTTTGCCATGTATTAAGTATTGATTTCTGGTTAACAGAGTAGTGCAGATATGATGTTTGGTGGAATTACCATCATCTGTGGGATTTTTGGAACATTAGCTGGCGGATTTATCCTTGATCGCATGAACGCGACCATCCATAATGCTTTTAAGGTAAGTTCTGGCATTATTTATGATCCAATTAACCATCCATTTATGTTTTAGGTTTATTCTATTTGGGTCCCTGAGCCTGTTTCTACTTGAACAAAGATAAATAGATGTTTGGAAACTGTAATATGTGATCTGCAGTACTGTTCTTTAAGATAATCTTCAAAACTCTCTCGCACAGTCTCATCTTCCAGGAAATAAAGATTTTTTTTTATTGGACCCTTTTTTTTGTCCCTGGTCCATATCTTTCTATGTCCACACAGTGGCAACTCATCTTACCTCTTAAGTACTAATTATGTCATACATTTGGAGAAATTTTCTATCCTGTCAGCGAATCTGGAGCAAATGTTTTGTTTCTGTGTGTTGTCATTCAAGCTCGATATGCGGGGTCGTTACGACCCTTTTGATTGGAAAAAACCTATTTGATCAGCTAAAAATCATGTTTTGTTCTGCCATTTAGTTTGCATTGACTGTTTTGTTTTTCCCTCTGACCCTGGTAACTTCTCTGTTATTTTGATACAGCTTCTTTGTGGAGCAACCTTTCTAGGTGCTGTTTTCTGCTTCACTGCCTTCTGTCTGAGGAGCTTGTATGGTTTCATAGCTCTTTTTGCACTAGGAGAGCTACTTGTTTTTGCTACACAGGTAATCTTTCAAGTGAAATATTCCAAATTTGGTTCTCCGAAGACAGACACTCCATCTTCACTTAGTTGGGTAGTCTGACACTTTGATGTAGGTTAATGCAGAGTACTAGTAGTGGAAAGTTTTGCCTCATATTTTCACTTCTAGTTGAGAACATGACACTAAGTTAATCAATTAAGTTACCAGAAGCAGAAAATTCTTAGTAAGTTGTCTCTGTTCACGATTATCTAGATTGTGAAGATTCTATTGCTTGTGAACTGAGCCTAGAGAATCAAGTGCACCATTTAAAGTAGTTTGCAATGAGTGCCAATTACCATTAGTTGTAGTCTTCGAACTATGCTATTAAACAGTGCAATTTCTTACTAAACTCTGTCTATGCAGCTTTGTTGGTAATTGAAAATTTATGTGAGTTGCATTTCCTATGGTTCATGTGATTTCTGCCATTATTTTTAAAACTGTACTGGTTAGAAACCAGAAGCTGGCTGTTCGCTATTCAACCAGTTCCATGGTCAAATTGTCTGAACAGTTTGGTTTAGTTACATTTAGTAAAACAAGTGATAGAAATAGAATAACGGAACCTTTGACACATGTTTTGGTTAGATTGTGTCTGCCCGCTTTTAGTTCATAAAGGTCATGGACATTGGATTCTAGACTGTCACATGGAGGAATATTTTTTCCCTGAAGAGGTTAAGACCTTTTTTAAATAAATTATGTGTCACAATACTGACAAATTAAGTTGCCTGCCTAGCTGGATAAGAACTGGGCACTCGTCAATGTTAGGGCACAGGCTCCAAACCCCACCTCACCACATGTTTAATGACTTAAATTTGTGAATATGGGAGGAGTAGTGGTTTCCATAGCACTCTGACAGCGTCTATTTTCTTTGATTGATGATATTGTCATATAATATTTCATTCTATTGTAAGCTTTGCTGAGCGTATCTATTATATTAATTCCATTACTCCTTTCTTTTGTCATGTAGATGTTATCAACCGCTTAGACATTGTATCAGGCCTTTTCTTTCAAGGGGACACATCTTGCATGTGCAAATGACATATCAGTGATTATTCTTTTTGTGACTTTTGTTGACAGCTTGGGGACCTATCATTCTATTATTCAATTTCATGCATGCCATGCATTTTAGCGTTCAAATTCTTTTGCTTAAATGACTGGCATTTTTCTTGAATGATATATCTTGACTTATTATAATATTCTTCCTCGATTCTTCTTTCACAGGCTCCGGTTAATTATGTCTGTCTCCATTGTGTCACGCCAAGTCTAAGACCATTATCAATGGCTATTTCAACTGTCGCTATTCACATCTTTGGTGATGTGCCATCGTCACCACTTGTTGGGGTTTTCCAGGTGTGCTTTCAAACTACGTTTTTTTTTTTGGCTAATTTCAGACTTCTATGATTATTCATCAAGCTAGTATACCAACTAGAAAGTGGTTTTCACAAACTTGATTTTGAGAGTGAGATTAGCCTGCTGAGCATGATGCTCGAATCATCATACCCTGGTCTTTCTTTTTAGTTTATGTTTTTTGTTACTGCTCCTGTGTTATTCTTCAAAGAAGCAAATTGTTTGACCTGCAAGAAAGGTCCGTTGGTTGCTCACAGTTTGTTCAAGTGCGGACAATTACAAATCACTAATCCTGCTTTTTATGCTTTCTTTCCTTTTGAGAATTCTCTTTTCTGACTATTTTGGCATTTTTAGTTATTTTTCCTGCACTATAATTATATTCATGTCATTGGATTAGTCAAAATTTCAATTGCTTGTGTCCAAAAAACGTAAGTGGAAAATAGCAGTTCTTGTGTAATTTTTTTGTCATTATCATACATCCACTTTTTGATGGTATTGTGTTCATCCTCTTGATTCACAGGATCATGTCAATAATTGGAGGGAGACAGCACTAGTTCTGACATCGATTTTGTTTCTTGCTGCTGGAATTTGGTTTATAGGTGGGTAATCTGGATCCTCGTTTCAGTAAACCTGTGTAAATAATGCCAAAAGGAGCCTGATCCTGTTGTGATGCAAACATAATTTCGTTTGTTTCTTTTTCTCACGGATGTTTGCTTTGAGGTGGATTGGGTTATTGACATAAGTCATTTCATGCTCGTTGTCAGGGATCTTTCTTAAAAGTGTGGATCGGTTTAACGAGGATAGTGTAACTCAAGCACCCACAACTGAGAAAGCCAACTTGAAACCATTGCTTGACGGGAACAGAAATGCTGTTCCAGAGAGCGTAAATGAAGTATGACGCATCGACCAAAACACTCTGGCATGTGCTCGTGTCTTTTCCCTTGTAAGACTTCGTACTCTTCTTTTGCATGTGAAAACTTATAATACTCCTCGGCAGAATTATCTCCTGATTATTGTTAGTTTGCTGGAGATTCCCATTGCTTTTAGCTGCCTGCTAATTTCCTTTTCTTTATGGAACAGCGTGACCTACGTGCAGCAAGGCATGCTAGGATCTCGTATTCATTGGGAGACTCTGTGATTAGATTGTACATATAAGGGCTTTGGGGGGCGGTTCATGCTAGAGCTTGATGCACAACACACGGTCGTCGACATTGAAGATGATGTAGATAAAAGATTTGTCTGCAATGGTGAAGCCATGCTAAGGTCTAAATTTTATGGATTTGAGTCTTTTGATTTGTTTTGCAAGTTCTTGGACAGGTTTTGTTCATTAAATAAAACGACAGAAGAAATCTCAAGCTTTTTTGGAGTACATATTTTCTGATATGTTGCTTTCCTTTCCAAGGGATTTGTAAATAATCTAATGCTTCAGCTTGTAATATTCTTTGAAATTCGTTTGGGCCGTGCATTGTGTCCTATCTGCAAATCTAATCTGTTGCTCATGCGATGAAGCATGTGAACCACTCATACGTACATTTATAAGTCCCACCCTACACATATAAATGCTTGCTATCTGAAACTGTACCACGTTTATGAACTGGATTTCATTCGATTCGTGGTTGTCCCCATGCAACCTGCGAACGGGTGTCCAGGTCTTTGGAAGGTCTTCCGATGTTGTAGGGGAAAATTACCCAAAAAGTCCTAAACCTTTTACATTTGTGCCAATTCAGTCATAAATATTTTTTTTTGCCAATTCAGTCCTAAACATTTTTTTTTTGCCAATTCAGTCCTAAATCTTATGTAATTGTGTTAATTTAGTCCATCTGGCCACTTTTAGCTAGCCGGCGTTGATGTGGACATCGGCCGGCTGACGTGGCAATATTTTAATAATTTTTTTATTTTTCTTTTTTTAAATTTTATTTTTTCTTTTTTTTTTCTCCTATTTTCTTCCCCGGTCGCCTGTCCGGCGACCAGCGAGTTCCACCTCGTCGGCCATGGGCGAGGCTCGCCCTTGCCGTCGTCGGGCGAGGTCGAGCCTCGCCATGGCCGAGCGACCTCGCCATGACCAGGTGAGGCCTCACCTAGATCTGGCGAGGTTGACCTTGCCATGGCGTAGGCCGCCCAGATCTAGCGAGACCTCGCCGTCGCTAAGCGAGGTCGAGCCTCGCTATGGCTGGGCGAGCTCGACCTTGCCCTGGCCATGGCTAGGTTGACCTCGCCTGGCGATGGCGAGGCTTGCACTCGCTAGTGCTGGCGAGGGCTAGCCTCGCCCATGGCCGGCTAGGTGGAACTTGTTGGCCTCATCCTTTCGCCAGTCACCGATCGCCGGACCGGTGACCGAGGAAGAAGATAGGGGGAAAAAAGAGAAAGAGAAAAAAAAGTCAAAAAAATAAATTTTTTTTTGAAAAAATATTAAAAAATTATTAAAATATTGCCACGTCAGCCGGTTGACGCCAGAGGGCATTCACGTCAGCGTCGGCCGACCAAAAGTGGCCGGATGGACTGAATTGACATAATTGCAAAAGGTTTAGGACTTTTTTGGTAATTTTCTCGATGTTGTAGTTGATTCAATTCTAGGAGTAGCTAATGACGGTGGCTCCATAAGGTCGAACGATATTTGGTGCATAAGATCTCCATTTAAGAACAATCTCGGGTGTATCAGATCTCCATTTAATGCTTCCAAGGTTACTCTAATTAGGAGACGATAAGATTCGAACATGAAATTCGCAATCACATCTCAATCCCTTATTGACTGAGTTGCCCAATTCACGACTTGACTCGAGATCTAAGGCCTTAGACCCAAGTCCAAAGCTCCTAGACTTGAGAAGTGGCCGATCTCAAGATTGTTTATTAGTGTCAAAAAAAGATATATGGAGTATAAAAATGGAGAATCAGTTCTCTTTACAAAGAAAAATAAATCTTGAAGATTGTGTAATGCTTACTCTTTCAAATCTGTATTTTTACACAGAAGTGATATTTTTTGTCTCTCCTTTCATCTTCAGATTTCAATCTAATGATCTAAGACGCAGGTCCCATTTGGTTCAGCTTTCTCAAGAGGCTTTGAGCCCCTTAGGAAAAATGTGAGGTGTTTGGCAAGCATTTTTGGTACCCCATTGGCCAAATGCTAGCATTAGGAATGCTATTGTAGGGGTTTAATGACTTTTTTTTTTCCAATATTGTCCTCACTGATAATTATGTGTTCCACTTTTGCCCTAAAGCTCGTTGGTTCATCGTTAAGGTCCTCGTCCAAGTCTACGTTGCCCATCATCGAGGTTGAGGGTCGCGAGTGCCGTCGAGCCACTGTCTTCACCGGAGCCGCTGTCTTTGCTGGAGCTACTGTGGGCCGAGGTCAAGATCGAGGGTCGAGCAAGCCAGATTTGGCCGACGCGAGGGCGACCCAGATCTGGCCGACCATGGTCGTGTGACCTCGCGTCGCACATCCTCGGCGTCATGCATCCTCGGCGTCACGCATCGTCAGCGACCACCGCCTGGGTTGCAAACAGTTAAAGAGCCCGGATGCTCCGTGAGATGGTCGCCGGTGAAGCTTCGACGTTGCAAATCCCTAAAACAGAAAACCCTAAAATCGACTTGCAAATCGCCGATGAAGTCTCTTCACCTTGTCGAGGTCGCGTGCGACCCCAGGGGTCGCCTCGTTTGGGTTTGCGAGACATCGGTCGACGGTCGCCTCTAGTCGCCGTCGATGCTCGCTTGTGGTCGACGTCCACGAAGTTCGCTCAATCCCTGCCTCTGCCAATGCTCGCCCATATCTGTTTTTCTTTTTCTTTTTTCTTTTTCTTTTCACTTCAAAGTTGCTTTGCAAAATATACACCAAAATGAGTTATCCAAACACTATTGCTTTCACTAAGTGCCTCTTCATTCAAAGATACTTGGGGAAATGCAAAGCCATTTCCTCAAAGTTGAACCAAATAGGGCCGCAGTGCTGTGCGTGAAGGAACTTTGTGCAAAGTTTCCTCCCATGATATTGCTATATCAAAACTGTTGGTCATGATAAAACGACACCCAAGATCACCATAGCTAAAATCTAGATTACATTCATAGAGTGAAAGAGATTTGCGCACCTGATTTGGATTACATCATTCTTGATGCGGAATAGTGACGATCCTCTGCGCAAGTCTTCTTCTCTATTGCCCTTTGTATCACTGGCTCAATGAGATTGCCTTTCACAGATAGCGATTGCTCCTTATGTGAGATATGTGTGCGTTAGGGTTAGAGGAGAGATTTGAGCTATATTTATAGAGTTTTAAGCCAGATCCTCTCATCACGAGCCATGCCTTACTCGGCCCACACTAGCCAGTCCCATATTAGACTAATTAAGAAACTTTATAGCTGACCTTATCAGATTAACCCCGTAAAACGGTAAATTACAATATCAATTAATGTAACCCACATTAGAAAAACTCTTACATTCTCCCACTTGAGCTATATTAATTGAAACTGTACTGCATGTGCGCACCTTTATCTTGATCTAGTGATAATTCTTAATGATTAATCCAATCCGATAAAGTCTCAAACACCAAATCATGGCGGTAACTACATGTATACACACAGAGCCTTCTATGGTCACAAATGTTTTCAACTCTACTGATATGGATTCAACATGGTAGTGTGGCAATTGGATAACACCTTAAAAAGAGTAATACCCTATGTGTCATCCTCTTTATCAGTTCATATTCTCTCTCCTTAAGTGTCACAAAACCAGATGTGACACTAGAAAATATCCTTATGGTTAAGATGAAAGTCTTATCCTTATAGTTAACGTTATTTTATGTGTAACAAGACATATCCTTAAGGCTAATGATTGGATGCCCCTAGCATTTATTCAAGATTTATACAATACCTTGAAATTTTCACCGGATATATGTATTCAACATAATAACAATGCATTCATAAATACCTTATTGAATGTAAATAAGTTGATACATATCAAAATATCACTAAATGTAACAAAAAAATACAGATGTAAACTTCACTAGAGCAAAAATAAAATAACTCCCACTAAACAACAGTATTCCATGATACTTCTAAGCCCATGTTAATTATATGTCGCTCAAACACACAAGGGCGAAAGCCTTTAGTTAGTGGATCTGTAACCATATCATCTGTGAGAATATGCTTTATTGTAATGTCATCATTTTGAATTGTTTCCTTTATGGTCAAAAACTTGACCGCCATATGCTTAGACCCCTTGAGACCTCTGTTGTTGTTGATAACAACACTGCAGAGTTATTATCATAATACAACTATAAGGGTCTATCACAAAATCAAATACGATCAACACCTTAATAAGGTTCCGAAGCCAAATTGTATGAGTAGCTATAGAAAAGCGTGCTATAAACTCCGCTTGTATGGTAGAGGATGGCATAGTTTTCTGTTTCTTGCTTTTCCATGATACTGCATCTCCTGCTAACATAAAGATATGTACTGTTGTCGACTTCAATTCATCTTGACAACCAGTAAAATCTGCATCCGAATACCCTACTAGCTGCATGTCTTGAACCTTCTTGGTAGCAATCCAGTGATCGTGTTCTGAGTTTGACTGATTTATACCTATAGGTCCTGTTGTAAAAGTAATATCTGGTCTGGTGCAAACTTGAGCATACATAATACTACCAAGTACACTAGCATAAGGTAAATCCTTCATTGGGCTTTCTCAATATTTGAATCTGGACATTGTAATAAACTCAGTTTATCACTCTTATTGACAGAAACAATTCCTGGCTTGCAATCTTGCATACCGAATCTTTCTAAAGTACGATTAACATATGCCCTTTGAGATAAACCCAATCAACAGCAAGAACGATGCTTATGGATCTCAATGCCAAGTACAAAAGACGCCTCGCCAAGATCCTTAATGTCAAAAGTATTTGACAATATTCTCTTTGTCTCATGTAATAATCCAAGATCACTATTCGCAAGCAAGATATCGTCTACATAGAGTATGAGAAAAAAATTTCCTCCACTGACCTTGCAGTATATACACTAATCTAGTTTTTTTTTTTTTTGGTAACCGAGGTGTCCAGGCCAGCTTGCGCGCACCTCGACTATTCCTCGAGGGAGACTAGCACAGTAACCCACCGCCATGGCTCCCCACTTAAATCACAAGTGCTCAGCTGGGGAATCGAACCTGGGACCAGTGCGCCTAACCACACAATCCCAAGTACGCCCTAACCAACTGAGCTACCCATGGGTGGGTTACACTAATCTAGTTTGTTCTCAACAAAATCAAAAGAAGTGACAATACTATGAAACTTGAAGTACCATTGTCTAGAAGCTTGCTTGAGGCCCTAAATTGACTTTTTCAGTCTACACATAAGCTTTCCTAAATCATCTGCCGTAAAACTTTTGGGTTGGTCCATATAAACCTTCTCATCAAGATCTTCATTCAGAAAAGTAGTTTTAACATCTATTTGGTGTAGCTCCATATCGAAATGAGCTACTGAA